GCCCAGTAATTTTTATTCTGAAGTGCTTAAAGAAAAATAACATAAATCTAAAATTTAAATTGTGCTAGTTTTTTGTTTGTTTGTTTTTCCCCCAGAATGTTCTTCTCTCTCCAGAATGCTTAAAGCAATGACAGTTTTACTAGAACAAGGATGAAGGAACTGGCAGAAGTGGTAGTTGTAGCTCCAAGAGAGAGTTGTAGTTCTTCAACAGACTCCTGCTGTCTTAATGTAAGACACTAAACCAGAATGCTTTGATATTAAGTGGCAAAAAATACTTTGGCAATTAAGACAGCACAACAGGCATCAGGGTGCTGCATGAAAGTGTGAGTTTTTTTATATAGTTCTTGTAACTTCTAAAATTACCTAAAGGGATTTCGATAAAAAATTTCCATTACAGTAACTTTAATAAAAGATGCATCTAAATATCCCAGCTAATATTGAAACACTTTACTAAAACCTCCTCACAAATTCACAGCAGAAACACACATTTTATACACGTATGTATGGCTCCATGCTAAAACACAATTACTTTTCCAATGTAAGCAGCCCTAGTAAAGCAAACTGGACCATCTTTGTGAGAGGAGTTATGTGTGCCCCAAAGCACTTGCTGTATCAGCAGATGCCTTGAACTACCCTGGCAGTGGTGAGTCTACTTGTAAGTGAAGCACAGTGCTGCAAGCGGGACAGAACCCCTCCAAGAAAATTTTTGTATCAGGAATAGTGTGGCCAGCAGGACCAGGGAAGTGATCGTCCCCCTGTACTCGGCACTGGTGAGGCCGCACCTCAAGTTCTGTGTTCAGTTTTGGGCACCCCACTGCAAAAAGGACATTGAGGTGCTGGAGCGCGCCCAGAGAAGAGCAACGAAGCTGGTGAAGGGTCTGGAGCACAAGTCTTATGAGGAGTGGCTGAGGGCACTGGGGTTGTTTAACTTGGAGAAGAGGAGGCTGAGGGGAGACCTTCTCGCTCTCTACAACTACCTGAAAGGAGGTTGTAGTGAGGTGGGTGTTGGTCTCTTCTCCCAAGTAACAAGTGATGGGACAAGAGTAAATGGCCTCAAGTTGTGCCAGGGGAGGTTTAGGTTGGATATTAGGAAAAATTTCTTCACCAAGAGGTTTGTCAATCATTGGAACAGGCTGCCCAGGGAAGTGGTGGAGTCACCATCCCTGGAGGTATTTAAAAGACATGTAGATGTGGTGCTTAGGGACATGGTTTAGTGGTGGACTTGGCAGTACTGGGTTAATGGTTGGACTTGATGATCTTAAAGGTCTTTTCCAACCAAAATGATTCTATGATTATATAAGAACAGCAAAAATTTGGATGGGCTAATTCTAGTACAGCCAAGGTGGTCAGGAATGACAGAGCAGAAGATTTGATTTGTAGCTATGATAGGTACCCTAGTTAATAATCAAGTAATATTTTAAGCTTGGAACAAGTTCTTCAATGCTAATGCATTATTCTTTTCCTGAAGAAACGTCAACTTTGAACTGTAGCTAATCAATTATAGTATTTTTTCACTTCAAGTGCATTTTTATATTCAGCAAATACCAAGCCTCTGATTTTGCATACTAAAGAAAAAATACTACTTTAAAAATTCTGTATATTGCTTCTTAGTTCTCTAGAAATGTAGACATACAGTGGCAGTCCAAAATAAAGAACTTTGAAAACATCACCCCAGAGTGGGATTAAGATATCTCGATTATATACAATGGTTGGTTTAAAGAAAAAAAAAAAAATCTGTTAATTTCGAGCCAGGGAAAGATTTTTTTAAAAACAACCCGTAGAGGGCAACCTCCACTTACAGACAGGATGCCAAGCACGGCCACTGTTTCTTCCTGCTTAGCCTAGATGCATCAGTTTGTACAGTCTCGGGAAGGAAATCAACCCTGTAAAATTCTGTGCCCTAGACAGGAGATGTGAAAAAGACCACCATGCAAACGATGCAGGCAGATTTGTCCCGGCATGTAGTTATGGAATTGAGAGGACTGAAAAGAGAGATGAGCACAGCTGTCTCTAAAGTGAGTCATTAAGAAGTACCTTGTCTTGTTAATATATGTAGAATTTAAGTGCACTCTGATTGCTGTAGATTCTTTAAGACTGTGCCTCCAGACCTTTACAACGTGCTGCCCAGGCTAACAGTCCTCACAGTGATATCTGGAAATCCAAAGAGATAATAAATTTTTGTCCTACATGCTTGTGTGTGTGTGTGTGTGTGTGTGTGTATGCATGCCTGTGCATGTGTGTCTGCAAGCTGCCACAAACAGGATGTGCTAATGTGACTTCTGTTGTACAAATTCTTTGCTTTATTAAGCAGGCAGGGTGGTCTTGCAAACAAACCACCCCTCCCCCAGTGATTTATACAGCTATGTAATATAATAATAGTAAATTAAATAATGCTTCTATGATTTGTAAGCATTTTCTATCTGAGAATTCACAATGATGCAGATCTAAATAACTTTTAATAGTATATACCCTTTTAAATAGTGCAGGTTTTAAAACTGGGATGTATGCATAAAAAATACAGGGTGTGCATATACTTTAAGTGTTGTCTCAAGCCGACATAATAATTTTTTAATATTTGTATTTTGTGATACTGCAGGTTAGGTATCTGGCATTAAAATATATATACCCAAAAAACTAGCATCAGCAATGTGGTGTGGTTTTCATGCGTGGTGGGCCACTTAACTGTCAAATAGTGATGATGTCTATTAAGAAGTTATTTCCAAGACGGTGTTTTCATTTAAACTGTTGTCAGATCTGCTGACTGATTTACAGCTTGGTTGACTAGTAAGGGATCTGCTCAGATGGCAGGGCTATGGAGAGCTGTCACTCTTCTCCGAGTGAACCACGGTTGTTTCTCATCACTGACAAAATGAGAAATACAACCCCAGAGGTGCAGTTTTCTGATGAAGGTGCTAGGGGGCTGCACCAGGCTGTTTGTTTTAAAAGCCCTTAACATACTAATGAGAGTACACATTGACTTCATGTAGTGGGAATTGCTGGAGACTTTAGATATGGCCAGAGGAAAGAAAGATGAATTTATGGAAAAATGACCACCCACTAAAATTTAGCAATCACTGTGGAACAAATAATGTCATTAAATATCGTAAATATGGTGTAAGTTTATTTAATGCCAAAGTCTATCAATACATACCTATGGGTACTGATCGTCTTTGCCTATTTTGATGCCTTTTTGTCAAGAGCTCCTTTAAAAATACATCTTTTGTTAGTGACTCAGAAAAAGATATTGATATTATTTAGTCACTCAATATACAAATTGCTATGCCTTCAAAGGATGACTTGGAAAAGTGGTGCTAGGGGAGAGGAGGAGTTTGAAATGGAATGTATTTTAAAGTAAGAAGACAGAAGATGCTTGTTTCAAACGCCCATAGGCACATAAATAACTGCATATTTAGTAACAAAAAAAATTCTGATAACTTGGGCTTTAAGAGAAGTAGCCAGTCTAAATGCTTTCTATCTTTACTCTGCTCCATCCAAGGGGATTTGTGTATAAGAAGTTTCAGTTTCTTTTGTAGTCATTTCACACTTTCCAATGGTCACTTAATATACTATATATAATTTAACAATGATGATCCCATATAACACACTAACCACAGAAAACCACCAGAACCTCCCTAAACACAACTATTGATTATTCTGTAACACTATTTAACAGAAAGATGATATATGAAGCACTGCCACTCCCCTCCCCTAGATGCCTTTGGCTCTGCTCAGCTGTCAGTAACAGAAGAAACCACCAAAACCTGTGCTCTTACAAAAAAAAAATCTCCATTCCTGTTTCAATCTTCTATCTAGTCCCATGTACAGAAATTTCCTTTCTCAAGTACGCTACCCTTGAGGTCTGACTTACATAATGTGCAAGGTTGTAATCTGCCCATGGTTTGGGAGAATATTCAAGCTGATGAGGTCAGTTATAGACTCAATCTCCTTACTTGATCCATACATTTAGAGAATAAGGGATTTTCATTCATTGCTGCTGCTGTAACAATTTTAATCCTGAGCACACTGCTAAAGGAATTTGGTATCTCTTCCTTTCCTATAGAAACACTATTTCTTTGTTTCTGTCCTGCCCTCCTAATGGCTCTTTATAATTCAAGACACTTGAAATTAACTCGATGAGAGGGCAAGGGAAAGTTGCACTACTTCTTTTTGTATATTTCTGCTGAGGAAGATGGTTACAATATACCACACAACACAGAACAAGGAACAGTTTCAACAAACTAGGATCCAGCACAAGGATAAGGGCTATTTTACAGGCTTGGAAGTAAACTAACAGCATGGAAGTTAGCTTTGACAATAGTTGCAGGTATGGAAAAATACAGATAACAGCATAAATCCACACGATATGTAAGAGCCTACAATTCTGCTAGCTGAAGCACTATTACCCAAGCGTCCAAAACCACATAGAAAGCAAGCCAAATAACTTGCTAATTGTGCTTTGTATGCAAAAAGTTCATATTCAGTACATACAAACAGGACATTCTGTAATGATAGGGGGAGGAGAAGGCTCTGACTGAAAGCTCATGCAAAACAGAGATTGTATCTAGCTACAAAAAGCAATCACAGCATTATCTCCAACCTACCGTGTATTGGACTCTTACCTTCTTGACGTCCCTGACTAGATGGTACAGAGTGTTGGATGGTCCATGTCTCTGCAAAGGACAAATAAAGAAGAATAAAATAGTTTTGCATTGTCCAAAGACCTGTAAGATGTAAATGGTAAATGCTGAAATGGCTTTCTCACCTTAGTAGCTAAAAAATCAGGCAACTGAGAGCACTTCAATTGTACAGTGTTATCAATTTAAAAAATTGAAATCAATTACAAGAGCATTATTTCACCTGACTTCTCTTTTTTACAAAACTCTTCAGTAAGACAACCACAAGAACAGCTGGACTGGATGAAAACTAGGGTCCTATATACCAGATTAGGCTCCTGGCTTAGGCAAAGCAGGAGCCCAGCACAACATGCACAGCCTCTGGGAGGGAGTGGAATAAAAAAACAGTTGCTTAAGTGTCAGCCTTCCTGCACTCAACTTCCAGTGTTGATGGCTCAGAGAGCCCCTGAGCCTGACATTGCATCTAGGCTGTCTCATCTGAAAGCCACTAACAGCATGCACAGTTTGTGAATTTCTCCAATCTTCTTTAGACTCCATCTGACACGCAAAACATTCTGCAGCAGACTCCCACAATTTCAATTGTATGTTATGTGGAGAAGTACTTTCTTTTCAGTTGTGTTTTTGACTGTTGCTGATATTTTAAGAAACTTTTATGGGAGGTCTCCTTGGCTGTAACTGATGATAGATGAGACCACTGCATATGTGCAGTCAATGTTTCCATATATACACTGCTCTGCACTTGCCAACACTTAATTTTATGTAACCCACCACCAAGCATAAAGAGATTTTGCTGTGATTCTTCATATGCTGCTTCAGATTTGCCTACCCTGAAAGATGCTAAATCATGTGTAAACACTGTCCCTTCAGTAGTTACTAATTTTCAGATCACCTCTAAACAGGCTGAAGAGCACTGGTCCCAGGACGGTCTTGGATGACCCTGGTCATAATGTCCTTCTGTGGTAAGAACAGACCATGTATTCCTACTCTCTGTTTTCTATCCTTCAAGTAGTTTTTAAACCACAAGTGCTCCTTATCTACTATGCCATGACAGCTACATTTCTTTTGTTTTTGAGGTTTTCAAATATTGTCAAACAGGTTTTGCAAAAATAGATGGACCAAGTGCAACATCCTTATTCTCCTGCACGTTGACTTCAGAAATAGTAATAGATTTCTACAGCTTAACATTTTCCTACAGAAGCCAGGTAAACTCTTTACATAAAATTAATCCCCTTGTCTATTAATTCTATTCTTGTATTTTAACAAATTTGCCATGGCAGAAGTCAGATTCATTGGTTTGTAGTTTCCCAGGTCACTCTCAGGACTCATGTTGAAATCTGGTGGCTTTTAAACCAGCCGTGTAACTTCTTTGGTGCTAAGGCTATTATGAATGCATTAGGTCATATATCATAATTGGCAGTTCAGGCATTTCATAGCCGGGGTCTTTTGGAACTCTTGCATGAATAATTTATGTTGATTTCTATAGCTCACAAAAAATTTGTTCAAAAAGGCCTTCTTTTAGCTGTAGAACTGAAGACTTTCCTCAGACATACTCCCTGTAAAAACTGGCTTTGGTACAAGAACTACAATGCTTATTTCTGTAGCAAGAAAGCTCATAGGCTTTCTGTTCTTAATACATAGATGCTAGTTGATAGGCAAAGTTTAAGCAGATCAAATATCAGTTGAGAATCTGTCTCAAGATTTATCTATTTATCTATTTTGGACAAATTTTATGCATTCTTTTCATATTTGATACTTTTGAAAGACTGATTTCTGGTCACCATCAATGTGAAACATCTATGGATAACTGTGGCAGATAATAATGGCAGGGCTTTGAAAAGTACTGGCAGAAAAAAACTTTTTGAAAAGGGCAATGCACTATATCACAACCTCTCTCCAAGAGACAGAACTAACAATGCTAAGAACTAGACAATGCTTTAAGATTTTTTCTATGCCACTTAAACAATTTGAACTTGCTGGTTTATCTTGGTAGGCAATAATGATGTGAATGCTGGAATGTGTTTTGCAGTTGAGAACTCAGAAGCAATTTGAACTGGTGCAGTTTTATGTTCATTTTAAGGACAAAGATATAAAACTTGCAAACAGGCTTTAAAAAGTCTAAACCATAATTTTTGGAACATTTGGTGAGGACATGGGGAAGTCCTTCACTGTAATAGACCTGTAATAATCAGATTCCACCTTTAAATTCAGAATATTACCCCAAGAAGTTTGCTTCTATTTGTTTTCTAGCAGCTGAGTTTCATTAACAGTTGCAAGATTTTTCTGAAACCATAAAGGCTTACACCATCAGGAGTCATATATCACCGTCCCACAGGTCCTAGCTTGCCAGTTACTGTCTTCCAGCCAGTGCCATCTTCTTAAATCTCAGGCCTATCGTATTGGAATTACAATGACCAGAAATCAGATGGCACTGTGTGGGGCTTAAGCCATGTTTTATTAAACCTGTGCAGCAGATTAGGTGGGCAAGACACAGCTTGTTCCATTATATGAGAGACAAAGCTAAAAGCCACTGTGGACTTCTAACGTGGAAAATTTTTGCAGCAGGTGTTGGCTGCCTTGTCCATCATCATGTTGTTGTAATACAAGTGGGAGCAAGAACAATGAATATAGAGATAGAAAATTTGCCTTAGTTTGGCCCTACCGTATTGTACAATTCCTCTAGCCGGGAGATGGTGAGAAAACGATGCATGCTTACTCCATTTTCTATAAGTAATTTCACAAAATCCACTCTGTCCAACACCAGTGCATCCAGCATTGCTTGCTCAAGGGAGCCCACCTGCAAAGCAAGCGATTAATTCAGGCTGTTCTTGGGCATCACAGGCTGTATCCGGCTGGTCTGGTCACCCTGGCACAAGCAGGGAATCCTGGCAAAATTCCGAGGGTTGCTCTGTTGAGCTTAAAATGGCATAATCACAGTTTTAGTCTACATTGGTTCCTCTGATTCAGGGCAGCATGTAAAAAATGAGTGTCAAAGTGTTAAGATTAACATACTCTGAGAAACCCGAATTAGGACCAAGGAACTGGAACCTAGGAAATTGGTGACCACACCTCCACATTATTCACCATCTCATTATTATCTTTATTTCTTGCTTTCCTGACAGACGTTTTATTTGTATTTGGTATATTTGTTATGTGCACACACACTCACTTTAATTCTGTCTTTACTAGCTTTTTCCTCTGTTTGTGGTGTGGAAACTCAGGGGAACTTTGACACCCAGGAAGCAGAAATAGCTTCACAATTAGCATTTATTTGAAGGGCAAAATACAAGAGGTCATCTTATGCAAAACCTTTCCTTTTCTATCCCTTGCAGGTTTGGGGGAGTTAGAATGATGAGAAATTATCTCATGCTTCAAGCTTTCAGCTTGCAAAATGATTGCAGCTTGCAGCATTTATGCAAATTTTTGCTATGATGTGGAGATGGAATGATAACGACAAGTACAATTTACCACCATTAAAATCTCTCCTGTGTTTAGGTGCATACTTAGGCCCAACATTGATAAGTAATCCTGTTCACTCCATAACTGAAAAGGTGAGGATTTTTCAAACTAGCTTTAAGGGGCAGCAAGCTCCAGAAGCTACGTTTAAAGCAATGATATTTAAACAGAAGCTTTTCTTTTTGTTATATTTTTTCCATGGGGAGTTGTAAATACTCATGTAATATAGCATATGAAATTTTCATGACTGTGACAAAACAAGTGTCACAGTAATGAATGTTGGGATCCAGTTACCCCTCCTGAAGAAAAATATGGTGGGCTTTAAGGAGCTACAGGTAGAGACGGAGTCCTTCTGTTTTTTTCTGGATGACTTTTACCACTGTAAAAACTGCAGCACAAGTTAGGAGTTGACTACTTCTCCTCTGCCCCACATAGCATTCAATAACCCCTCTATTTACAGCCCTCCAACTCCTGCAGAGCAGCTCAGCCCATGGTGCCCCTCCCCAGGGAACGGTGTTGGTCTGGGAGCCTGTCCCCACAGCTGGCAGCTGGAGCATAGGAAGAGGCAGACGTGAAGCGGGCAGACGGATGTAGAGCAGCACTGGGCACGAAATTAACACCAGCTCAGGTCTGGAGCCACAGCATTTCTGTGGTAACATTGCTGATCAGCTCTTGTGATCCCCTTGATGACCTCCAGCATCTGTGCAGCATATTTTTTGATGTCTGATTATCATCAAATTCACTATTTGCATATAGAAGCATATTGCTCGAAGGGCAAAAAGATATTTTTGCCTTTCCTTTAATTTATAACCCACCATTGTAACATGGCTGTAAACACATACTTGTTTTTCTCAGCTTGCAGGATCATTGCTTGATAGTATAAATGTGTTGCTTCCCCTCGTTCCTTTAAAGGTGTGGTGTCTCAGCGTGAAGGCATCGCTAGATGTCACCATTTCCTTGAACAAGCGAACGTATTAACATCTTTGTAACCCTGCTTGCCTTCAGCAGCTGTGAATGGGAACTTTGTGCTTGGCTGGGAGCACGACTCAGTATATTTTAAGCTGCGTTAAAATCACCACCGCCAACAGAATGGATTTAACGTCATGTAGGGTTTAATATGTTTTCAGTAGAAGATGCTGTATATATACTGTACCGGCCACTGTTGCCCATAAATAAAGATCTGACTGCGGGCGATGTCTACTCTGTTCCAGGCTAATGCTAGGCTCAGCTGGTCCGGAGCAGATGCGTTAGCTCCTGTGTATACAGACAGGGGTGCAGGGAGGAGAGGAGGAGAAAAAAAGAAACAAGACATACTTTAAACTCAGTCAACAGAGCACCATGGTAATTCCTCTTTGTCAAAAGTCTCACAGGTGTCCATGTCATTTCTGCAATTGATCTCATATTAAAACAAACCCATACTTCCCATTACGCCTGTAATGAAATACTGGTTCTCAAATCTGAATCTATGGTTCTCAGATTATCTCATAAACATTAATTATTTCCTCACATCCCCCTTGAAAAATACAGTAGGTACACATGATATCAGCAGGTGCAACTTGCAGTGGAGTGAACTGGTTTCCCTCCTCTCAGACAGCGAGCGAGAGCAGAAGCCAGTAGAGATACTGATCCAGCTGCAGGATCACACACACACACACACACACACACGCATGAGTGCACACATATACACACACATGCATTTTGCAATTACAACCAGGTTCAACACACAGACACCCCACCAATTTCCATAGTCATGCATTTAATGTGCACCTTGTATGCATTCCCACCTGATAAGGTGGGGATCCTGTAGAAGCACAGGAATTTCTCCTATATATATTTGTACTGAGGAGTCTTGGTTGGACAAATTTCCCTTCACACATGCAATATTCATGTAAGAAAGCATGCTATAAAGCTGGTGTCAAGTTAAAAAATACAAAAATTAAATAAGAAACTATGCAGATGATAAGATGGGTTTGGAGCTGTTTGTTTTTGGAAGGGAGGGTATGTTTTTCCCTGTAGTTTTAATGGACACTGTAGGACATTCTTGACCTGCTGTGCTTTTATAATGTTTCACTAAAGATTTCATGGTTATTAGCTGATTTGCAATAATAAACCAGTATTTGTGCTTCAGTGTCACAGGGAGAACTAGCTGAATGAACTGATCAACCAAATAAATAAAGGGCACTTCAACTTTTAACTACATAGCTGCTTGCAGTGATTAGGTGATTGTATAAAAGCGAATTTTTTAAAGGCCTCATACTTTCACTGTTTTCTTGTCTTTGTTAATTCTTATACTGATATCATGGAACGAGGACAAACAGGAGCTTTTCATTACTTCAAAGCATCTCTGTCCCCATTTCAGTACTATTCAAAATCACTCACTGTTCCAGTTGAAAATGCACTCTGAAATTGGAGGCACAGAAAAATAAAGCGTAAAACGCTGGCTGCTGAAATTCTCTGTGAAGGATCAGTTCAGCAGACCTTTGGAAAGCTTAGCCTACAGTATAATTTCATAAGTCTCAACTTTGCAGTCAGTTCACTGCCATGAAATTTTGCCAAATACTCTGCAATATCTACAGCAATTATTTGGGAGATGGTGGACTGTAGATCACTTTCATTTTATTACAGAAATGAGCTCTGACAAACAGGTAGGTGATGCAGGAGCAGAACAATAGAAAGAAACGAGAAAAGAAGAAAAGACAGTGAAAACAGTAAAAGACCTTTCTGTGACTAAGAAGTAACAGGAACACCCCTTTGTGTTAGACACAGCTTCTCATTGCTATACACAACACAGACTAAAGCTCTCACAAGAGACCTCATGGGGGATGCCAATGACATCTGAACCTTTCTGAGTTTCTTACACAAGCAACATGCAACATTCAAGAACAGAAAATATTTACCTTTGGGAAGGGCAAAAATGTCTCTACAGTTTTATTTATAAAAACAGCAAAAGATTACCTGCAGTGAGTATGATAGTGTAAATTAAGTACACAGAGCAAATAATGTTCTCTCCCTTTCTGAAGCAAACAACAGATCCTCTCAAAATGTCATTTCATCTCCTCTGTGTGCCTCCAGGAAAGTGAGAGCTTTGGCAGGTGCTCAGGCAAGCTGTCTGGTGAGCAGTGGAGGAGGCATATGGGTGAGCTCCAAAACCCAGGGGCAGTGATGGTGATCCTGCAGCCTGGTACCATTTTACACATGTGATGGGTAAACTCCACCTCCTGATTTTCCTAAACTGACTGCAGCCTACAGTCTGGGTAGCCAGGGGTGCTGTCTGGTTAGAAACCGTTTTGGATCAAGAGTTGATCAGATGGACTTGGGGTAGGAAGTGGGCTACTTATGTTGCCCCTACTTCAGTGAAAACTCAAGTCAAATCATAGAGGCTCCAGGTGAACACCTTCTGACCCCTAGCAGGGAGCCTTCCCCAGTTTGTGGCAAGTGGCATTCCTGGGCCTTTTCGTGCTTTAGGGAGGACTCGGCTGTAAAAATATAGAAGCTTAGCTATAAGAAAACTTATATTAACTAGAAAGCTGCTTAAGGCCTAGAACTGTTTCAAAGACTATAATCGTGGGAAAGGGGTTTGTAATCAAGGTAATAGCTAACTGACCATGGCAATGTACAATGCTGCTATGTTCCTTGTACAGTCCCTACCCAACCGGACAATAGGCCCGGGAATATTAATCTTATGAAGTAAGTTGTAAGGGACAAGTGTATCCACAGCAAGGATACTACGCATGCCTGCAAGAAGAGGGTCATCCAGTGAACACGGGTGCGAGACCACTGACGACCACCAGAGACCCCTGAGGACCACCAACTCAAATCACTGAGCATGCGTGATGGGGAGGAGAATATGGAAATGGATTCCAAGAAATGATTATCATAGGACTGCCTTTTCTTGGAAAAATAATGAATATGTATATTTTGATTCTATATAACCTGTATGTTGGTGATGACCTGGCATGCACGTTTGGTGGAGCTATTTCCCCCGTGCATCCAGCGCTGCAATAAAGCAAACCTAGGGTAACTCACGTCTGGTAGAATTTTTCTTTAACATGGCTGCTGGATGAACGCAGGGGTGTCTGGTGCATCTGATCACGTGAAAGAGCAACTGACATGGGGCACCAGGTGGTGGCTGCATCTCCAGAAAGGTCCCCAAGCCCAGCAGTTCATCAGAATTGTTTTCTTTGAGCATGCTTATTGCTCCGTATACTGAGCAGAGGGGAAAGCAAGTCATGGTTCAGCTTCCCTCCTTCCCACCTTCCTCCATGGTGTTTAAGGCTGCTAGCAGTGGACAAGTTTTCCAGTGTGTGCATGTACAATCCTGGAGACGATACTTTTCTCAGTGCTTGTTACCACAACGGTACATTTTATTGTCTCACAGAGTGCTGCAGACATTTGGCAGTTGAAGGAAAAGTATTGTTTCTCAAGGGTTTTTTGTACTTCAGGTCCAACCAGTCCATCAGCTAAGGCATAGACTGGGCAGTACAGGTCTGCACACTGGGGCTCTGATGCACATAGTGGGATGGCTGCTCCCAGAGAGAGGTTTGTTGCTGGAAAGCCCTTTCACCCTTCTCCTCTTTCCTGTCTTCCCTATGTGGTCTTCAGGTGAATGTGGATTACACTGACATTACATAAGAGGAGAAGGAAAATAAAAGCCATGAAAGTTGGTACAGAGCAGCATATGGGCCGTGGATGCCATTTAATCAATTTGATTCCAGGATGGACTGATAAATTTGACTCAATTGAAAAAGAAAGTATTCAGGCTATTTCTGGTGGAATTCTATCCAGTATTAAGAAATAAAAATAATTCCACTAATATAAGAAAAACTCCCTAGAACAAATGTGAGGTGGGCTTTCTTAAGATATTGTCTCATTTCAATCATCTCCTTGATTGCATTTAGTCCCACAGAGCATAGATTTGAGTGAGTAAGAAAAATCCAAAAAGTGACCTCTCTGAGGGACTCATCCTGCTCATGAGCATCACTGCAATGGACCCAAATCAAAGCCAAAATATATTTGGGAAACAAAAAAAAATAAAGTAGAGTTAATAACCTACTGCTGTCATCAACTCAGTACAGGGATCACACTGAAACCATTTCTTAAGCCCTTAACACTGCCAATGGCGAGAAATTAGCGTTTCCTCTCCCTGCATTTCTGTTTCATCCTGTCTGATGGAAAGATTCTCTGCTTAGCTGTGTCATATTATTTTAATTACTGTACTATACTTACTGCTTTGAATAGTTTTTTAGGCAATATGACTAATGTCTATGTAATGTTACTATTCTGGTGTCTGGCTGAGCATAAGATTATGTTCCTCAAAAGAATGTTTTAAGACAATATTACTAATGTCTGCAGTGGGACTCTTCCTTCCCTTCATGTGCTCCTAGAAGAAAAGTTACATTTCGGATGCAATGCGTTGATTTGGCAGTATTTTATTTCAGTATAGATATTGCTGGATATCGACAATACATGGATAGTGCAAAGTTGAATGAACAAGAAGGAGACCTGGGAGAGCTGTCAGTTCCTGCAGATGTTAGCTTTATGCTCCCAGGAGTGCTTGGATATCTTGCATAGATTCTTCTGGTAAAAAGTCAAATGGTTTATCCAATATCTTGGATCAAAAATGCAACAACACTCCTTGACGACAAAGCCTGGGACCATAAACTTGACTCTGAATCCTAGGTGACACAAACTACACATCAGACAATGAGTGTTGTGCCCTTGCAGGATCCCAGATTACTGAAGAGATAGACTACAGACTTTTATATACTGGCTAATGCTTACGGTGATGAATATAGAGCTCTGAAGGATTCTCCTGGGATAGTCTATGATACTCAGTGCTCAAGAATCTGGAAAGCTGAAATGACACAAAACTGATCTATCGAGACAGAAATGGTTGTTGGAGATTCATTTCCACAGTGCCTCTAAGCATGTCAGTGTCCTCTTTGATTCATTATTTAAGGAAAAGAATTAGATTAGGGAAAATGGCAATCCAAACTAACTTTCTGCTCTGCATCTCAGCAGGTCTTACGCTGTCTTCTGTTTCAGAAGCTCTTTGGTGAAAAGGCTGTGTTTCCACTGCATTTGCTACAAGCATCTTGCTGGCATTTAGCAAATCAATTGACAATAACAAAGCTGATAGCAACAACAACTATAAGGGCAGTAATCAGATATCTGGCCTAACTCCGAAATCCTTCTGTGTCAGTGATTTCATTGTTGGCAGACCATCACACTGTCTTCCAGGACCATCTGATACTACATGCTGGCTGTTCAGTGAGCATGAATTGTGACTTATTCACAGGCTGGAAAGTATGCAGAGACATCAGATCTGCATGAGCCTAACATGGCTTATCTCAGAGGGTTGCATGGCAGTAATATTACAATATGCATATACCACACAGCACCCCTCTCCCAGTGCTAACAATTGCACTGGGAAGGCTTCTGGAGCACCAGATGAAACATGGCTGGTGCTACTAATATGTTCCAGACATTGCAACAGCTTCGTGAACTAGGATCTTTGATGCCACTTCAAAACAATTACATTTTAGAACACCTCCATATGCTGCCTTTAACTTCCCTGTAATACGCCTTGTGTTCAATTAGCAGCTGCAAAAGGACAAAATCCATTACTGTTTGAGTTCCAACTGTTCAAGTTAAGAGAGCACAAACAGCTAAACTGTATCAATAAATTTACTTGCTATAAATTCACGCAGTTGGAAACTTGCTTCCTACATTTGCACATCTCTTGAAATTAAAAAAAAAAAAAAAAAAAAGAAATTCAAAAGCCATATGCTGTTATGACATCCATGCAATGTAAATTGATAACCAGTTTGGATGCCATTCCCTAGTTTATTGGAGATCACTTCCAAGAAAGATAGATCTACTGACAAGATTAAACAAATGACTCACAAAAACAAACAAGGAAATAATCTCTCATATTCAGTGCAGGGTTTGGGGCTTGCGGAATATCCTGTCCAAGAGAGATCCTGCATTGGCAGTGTGCCTGATGCAGGTTTAAAAAGAGACTAGCTCATCACGAATTTTACACAGCAAGGAGGAAATGATACTTCATGTTTTCCAGTCCTTGTCCTTCTACTCCCTGAACAAATCACTCACACCAGTGTGGGATTGGTAATTCACTGGTATGTGCCTTGAATACTGGCTAGCAAGAACTGCAAAATCCTCATTGGTGAGATGGAGAAAAAGTAATCAATATTCACTCACCAGTTTCATACTTTTATCTGCCCCCTTTTCACACAGTGTTGAAGAGATGAAAGAGGTTAATTCCTGAATCTAAACTTATGAATTTCAAGATAACTCAGACCTAGTCTTCAAATCTGCTTATTAGTAAATCAATAGACAAGTGGTTCAGCATTTGTACCTTAGATTTCTTGATTTGATGGAAAACCCAACTATCCATCAGCCTGCTGAGGTATATTTACAGAAAGGCAGTATTTCTTTCAGGGTGGTCCAGAACCTTTGTACAAAGACATGTTATGAACAAGGACAACTGACTTGCTTGACACAAGAGATCTCATCTTGGCACACATTGATTGAACAGTCATATGGACTTTCATTCTCTGTGATCAGAAAGCTCAGATGAACAAGAGGCATCTGATAAATCTAATCTTCATTGAGTACCTTCATAATCAGAAAGTGCTGAGGATCAGGGAAGATGAGGTGCAAGTTTTAGTTCCTCTGGCTCTTGAGCAAGACACAAGTGCTGCTGCCATCAGCAGATTACCAAATCAAGATTGTCAGGCAGGCATGAAAGGAGATGTCAGAATTACATACATGGATCCAGGCACCTTCTGAGATGACAGAAGTTCACTATGATGCGCTACTATTATGAAAAGGGCAGGTAATTTTTTTTTACTAAGGAGACAACAGGACCAATTAGGCACTTGCAAAATGGATATTCCAGATCAGAGAGGGCTACTAATACACCCAAACTGCAACTGTAGTACAGTTGCTCATGTAAATACTGCAAAAGAGCTTTACAAAGAGAAAAAAATCCCTCCCAGGCCCATGATTTATTTTCTTCAGCCTCCAAGAGGCAGCCTGCAGAGTGGTAAAACACTCCAGGGATCTATGTTGGGATTCAGACCTTGAAACTATACTAGAAAAAGTGGAATCACAACTTTAAGACAGTCTGTATGTCACTGACAGAAATTAAGAGCAGTCGTTTCAGCGACTGTCTTAAGACCAAATGTGAAGAGAACACACTTTACTCTGTGGGTAATGAAGGATCCAGTTATATTTAAGATAAACATGAAATCTGCAATTCAAATATTTCCTAAGGATAGAAATGAAGAATTTGGTGATGGATCCAATTCTTTTTCCTTGCTTTGAATTGATTTATTTTTCTTTTCTTCACCTTGATTTGTATTGTTTCTCTGTGAAGATGTCCAAAATACCTTGAGATTTAATTATGCAGATGGCTAGAACTTGTTACCTCGGGATAGCAGCAAAATAGTCATGTTACCTGCAGGTCAAACAACTGGTATCTAGATTGAATTGAGCCAAAGAAGTGGAGAAAGCAATACTACAGAAGCCTGAAGAAGCAAAAGCTACTGGAGCAAAACAATTCCAGCTCATTTCCTTGGCTGGTAGCTATCAGCTTGCAATCATACTTTTGACTGTGCTTGTTTACTCCTGTTCAGACTTTTGTTTTAAATGTTTGAAGCAACATTTTTGAAATGGGATTAATAATTGTGTAAAAGGTAAAATACTATATTCCTTGATTAGGTGAAAGTTACTCAGGCCTTCTCCCTTTTCTCTTCATACAGCTTTGGCGAGCCTGCACAGGAAGAAACTGAGAAGAAAACAGCCCTGGAACAAGCAAGAATAATTCCCATTAGATTTGAATACCCAGTAAATCTATTATATTTTTTGTTGTTACTCAAATTCAGGTCTGCCACATGGTGTTATGTACCCTCTTATTAGTGTGTGGGGTGGCAATAGCATGATGACAACTACTGAAGAGCCTCATGAAGCATAATTTTCCCCAGTCACCTTTGGAAGTTCATTTCCTAATGTTTCTCAGATTGTTCTTTAAAATTGTTCGGTATGTCCTATTCTCTGTTCTTAAAATCAGTATAGCCCGTACTACATAGCACAAACCAGTCCAGACAGCAACAAAATGACCATGGTGATTGATACATGCAATTTGTGAAAATCCCATCTGGGGAAATACCATATAAATGGAGGGGTACCCAGCCCTTGGTTAGGTGAATAATCCTTCATCGGGTAAGTACCTGTGCTTCAGCGCCTTTTAAAATCTCACCTGTTTCTGTATTTGCAAGCAGATATTAAATTACCTGGTAATATCATATCTTGAAGGGAGCCAAGCTAAATGATGTGTCTGCAAGACCAGGTTTTATAATGAACTGTAGCAACAATAGATTTAGTGTAAGACAATCTTTTAAGAGCGTTAAGTGTAGCATGTAATAGCTTAGAAAGATTTAGCGACCTGTGAAGTTTTAAGATTAAAACCTCTACCACCCCAATAGCTCAGTTCTTAGCTCTACCAGAGGAGACTGGAAGGAATCCCACACAGTTCCGAGACTTTCCTAGGATGACTACAGATAACGTTTTACTTTGACAATAGTGCCAGTTTTATCTAAAGGGAGATAACGTCCTTCTGGATGTTCTACTAGCCACTAAGGCAATCTAAATCTGAGAATTTCTTTGGCTGTCTTCTTGTGAGTACTAATCTTCTCAAGTAACTGATGGGGGGTCACCACTGATGTTTCTTGTGATGCATTAGTGATTGTGGGTGGAGAATAAAAATTCAGAAAGGAAAAACAGTAGCTATTTAAAGATTAAAGAAAGAACTGGATTTGTATAAAGCAGTTAGAGCAAAAGCATACTTCAATTTCATGGTATAAATTTGCCATCTTGATATGGCAGATACTGTCAATAAATGCAGGTTTCAGCACAGAAGAGACACAGAGTTAATCCATTTGGATTGATACAGACTCACTGTGGAGTGAAACTCCATTACCTTTCAGTAATGCTGTCAGGATAGCTAAATCAATATCCTGGTGTCCTTCTGATCCCATGCGAAATACTGTGATCTGAAATGTTAAAAGACAATACCATTATTGAAACCAGGGTAGTTTTTTTAAAAAAGAAATTAAATCAGGGCAGCATCATTTAGATCTCAAAATGTCCTGATGGCTACAGGATGATCTTACTTTATACATTTTATGAGAAGCTTATTAGATAGGGCTAATACACAGAATTTTTTGTGAGATAAGATTTGCTAAAAATAGAAATTGTATTAATAAGCATATGGCAGAAAAGTCTTCATTGATAATTACAGGGTGAAATTAGAGATGAAGGAATGTTCTTGTATGAGAGTAACATTAGATTTAGTGTTCCCAATACATTACTAGGAGGAATTAGGTGTATTATAGGTTGTGGACCTAATTTATGGCATATGGCATTGAATAAATATTATTGACTGAAATTAGCAACCTATTCAACCTCATGATTTTATACAGCAGAAAGTTAGATAAATAATCTAAGAACCAGGCTTCTAACAGGTCCAGAAACATCTTTCATCTTGTGTGGTCAGTGACCTATTGCTATAAGATATAAGCTTTGAGGCAGTGAGGTGAGATACACAATTCATAAAGAATAAGAATGATGAATGGAGCTGTACTTTCAAGTCAGTTTCACTCTTGGTTAAGACTGCACTGAAACATACAGAAGTGTAAATCCCCTTGCTCCTTTTGTTATCATGGCAATAGCTGCTCTTGGGCCTCTGCTTCTTGTGAAGAAACTGAGACTGCAGCTTTTTATTAGTGCCTTTTCTTTACTAATGAAAACTATGTTATCATTTTGATCTGAATACCTGTTATCGTTACGGTTTTTCTTTTTCCTCAGTACAGCCTGCCTAATTTTTTTTTTTTAAATAAGTGATACCTTTAATTAAGAATTTTGTAAATATATGTTACTCTCATATTCAGCAGCAAATGTTGTCCCCACATTTCTAGATTACTACTCATACAGCACCACTGAACTGCAGCAGCATCTGGGATAGAGGTCAGCAAACATCAGAGCACAAAGAAGAGTGTACCATGATGGGGACGGGAGACATATAAAGTGGTCAAGGCTAAGACAGCACTTTGGTGACAAGCTTCAGTTTGCCAGCTGAAATAGCCCTGCAGAGTGTATCCCAAGAAATCCAGTGCAGTCCTTCTGTAGCACCTATTCTACCTTACCTGTACCCTGGAGCTCTCGGGTGTTTAAGGGGAGATAAGAGACTTTGGCATCAATGACAGTGACATTCATTTAGAGACTGAAAAGGCAAAGTGGATGAAGTAATAGGAAACTGGTTTAGCGCAATTAGTCAATTGATTTAGATGATGTCTAAAACAATTAATGTGAGAAAGCATTTATGTTAAGTGTCCTCTCCAGTTAACGCAGCCTTTTTTCAAATTAGACTTAGTTTGACCCTTCAAAGTGTTCCTTAGACAAAGCATAAATACCTGCAAATGATACTTTAATGATCTATTTTCTCTCTCCCTCTGGAATCTACAGATGTTTCTGGCACACCTCTTGATGTCTATCCTCATACTGCAACTTTTAGAAAATAGAATAGAGTAGAATAGAATAGAATACAATAGGAAACAGAATAGTTTCATCTGGAAGGGACCTACAACAACCATCTAGTCCAGCTGCCTGACCACTTCAGGGCTGACCAAAAGTTAAAGCATGTTATTAAGGGCATTGTCCAAATGTCTCTTAAACCCTGACAGGCTTAGGGCATCAACCACCTCTTTAGGAAGCCTGTTGCAGGGTTTGACCACCCTCTCGGCAAACAAATGTTTCCTGATGTTTTTCCTAATGTTTTTCTTATCTCGTCAATGACTGGCAAGGAAGCTTTCCCTGCAGTGCAGGCAGTCTTCTCCTCTGACCTGTAGAGCACAGGTAATGTGGGTAGAAATACATATTTCTATGTATGTGTCATCTCAATAGACAATAAAAATGTGAGCCGATGGTATTAGCCCCTCTACTCATGATGGCTGCCTGTGCCACAGATGATGAACTGTGCCACAGAGGTTTGTCAGGCAAGCGGTCAGAAGGCAGAAGGAAGAGAAAGCCTTCTTCCCATACTGAGTGGGAAAGAGGAACATCTCCCTTCTCATGGGCAGCTCTGGCACGTGCTGACAGTAAGTGGGTGAATACAGTCTTGCCACAGAACAATCTGATCATAACATCCTCACAATGCTCTGCAATTTCCTACACAATTTTTGCAGCAACAGTTATCTCTGTAGCACTGAAGGGAAGCATGACAGCCTGGCAAGCAGATCAGCTAATGCTGGGAATGTCTCGTTTGCATCACTGAGCTTGGTGGCATCAACACATGGCAAAATGCCCTTCTCTTTCTTTAAGGCCAAAGGTGAAGCAGTCTGCACATTGGGGACTGAAAATGCTGAACAACAGGAGTTCAGTGAAAGAACAAAGTACATCTCAAACTAAACACATGCTCCTAGCTTAGTGAAAGGAGTTCCTAGTGAACTCCTAGCTTAGTGAAAAGGCATCATATAAATTGCAAGCACTGAACAGCTTATCACCACAGGAAAGCTAAGAGAAGCACTTTGGATGTATTGGAGCACATATAACCCTAAATTTCCAACTTTTCTTTCATCCCTCTTCCCTGCATACCTCAAAAAAATAGACCCACTTCAGCAGAACAAATTGCTGGTGTATTAAAAATAAAATAGACTTAAACATTAACATCAGAATAAAAAGACTGTTTTCCCACTACTACTACTAAAGTATTTCCCACTGCTATTACTAAAGTATTAACCTACTTTATTATTATTATTAGTATGAGGTCTAGCATAATTCATGTAGTAAAATAAAGAAAAAGAAGATGAATAATTGGGAAAAAAAATGGAAATGGAAAGACTGCTCTACTCATACCAGAATTATTATAATTTTGGGGGTCATGCCCAAGACCGAACTAGAATTTTAGACAGAACCAAGGCAAAATATCATGATACTTCATTTCAAACCACTGTGAGTTTAGTAGCTCAAATACTCAGATGATACTGTGAATTTTTGCCTGTTCCAAATGCACAAAATCTTCTAGGATGGTAAACAGATATGTTCAGCCTCTTCTTAAGGTTTAGGTTAACGGTAACCATAGCTGCTTTCTCTCTGTGATGGATGCACTCCTCCTGTTTGAACTAACTGACTTTTGGTCCAGGTAGATGCTCAGCAAGTATGCCAAATCAAAGTTAATCCTATTGTGTGAGGCCATCAGTGAGAACTCAGCACCAAACCCCGCTGAGCTCTCCCTCCATAGCAGCTGGCTGCGCGGTGGTGATGTCCCCTTGAGTAGGGATGCCTCTCAAGGTTACCCCTTGAGCCTGAGAGGTCCCTTACCTGACCTCAACAATTGATGAGTTGTTAACTGACATGTTTTGCATGCATGTAACATTTAAGATATGTATAGTAAGCTTACGCAATAACCTTTGTATGCCATACTAACTTTAAGTGTAGTAAATAATAGAGTATTGACTGCCAATCCATCTGTACTTAGTAAATACCTAAATTGACTGGTTAGAACTCAATAAACTAACTACTAGATCAGATCTGTCTGAGTGATCTCTGACTCTTCTCCTGCAATGGTCTCCTGTCACAGTTCCTGAATATGATTTTGGACAACCTGCTATCAGCACCTTACTCATGCAGGTTTTTTTGAGAAACTTCTCACAGCTAGTCATCCTTTGAACTGTTGCTTCCCAAAAAAGCTTTTTATCAATCTGGACTTCATAGGCAGGTCTTTGCCTTGTCATGTTTTCCCATGATTTTGGGAAGATTGATTGTTTCTTCTTTCCACTGTTGCCCTAAAGCTTGACCAATGTTTTTGTTCATTCACAAAGCGGAAGATTTAAAATAGGACTGCACTGTAATTAGGCGAGGAGACAACTTTGTCACACTGTTGATAAAACCTTTATCTCTGTTGATAAAATCTTAATCCTGATCTTCAGCATTCTTCAGGTACAACTTGTTCGCCTTCTGTCTTTGTCAGATGAGTTGGTTGCTTTCACTGTTGGATGTCAGAGGTATAGTGACATTTGCTTTTAAATGGCTAAAGGAAAATATTTCAGCACTAATGCTCTGCAGAGTGAATTTTGGAAGAAATACAGAGAGGTAGAAAAAGATACAATTTGTTATTGGATGAGATCCTAGTGCCTTGTGCTAAAGACTCTCTTGACCTTTCCAGAAAGAAAGCATGAATTTTGTTTCTGCATTTTATGAGTACAGTTATTAGGAGACAGCAATTGTTCCTAAAACATGGTTTTACTTCTTTGCTTTTACAGACTTTGTAGTTTTTCCAGCATCATTCATTTTTTGTAGTCAGAGACATGAGGAAATAAGGATACATTCTAAAGTATTTATGCAGATGTTACACTTAGAAATGTTCAATATCTTTAGGTCTCAAAAAACCTATCTGTCTGTCTTGCTGGAGACCTGTTCATTTGGTGATTTCTTTTCCCCCAATTAACAGGTAAGAATTTTACGTTTGCAATATACTCATCTGGTTTCAGGAGTCATTAATGTATCTGGCATCTTGCTAGTTCCCATTTACAGGTACTTTGGTGGGTAAATCACTGCAGAGAACTGAGAAACAGCACATCAGTGCTGTTAAAATAGGACATTGACTAGAGCCCTGTTAGAATGGGCTACAGATGCTATTGCACTAATGTATATAACACTGCTGTGCTAAAGGAAAATATCAGGGTCAGTAAACTCTATTCCCAGCTACCTCTTGCTGGATGAATGTCTGCCACTGAGATGCAAAATAACAGCAAAGACTTAGAAACACACTTAATAACTCACTACTAAGAAAAAAAAGAAAGCCTGCCTTCTGTAAAGGAAGAGACAGTGCCTAAGAGCCACTCACCTTTAAAAAGACCTACTCTAGTCCCGTTTAAGTGTGTTGTTGAGTCCTAGCCTCTTTACAACTCAAGTGAAGAAGTAAAAGGAAAAACAACCTAGTAAGGTGTGTATATGCAATCCAGAACATTTAATTATTAAAAAATAAACCCCAAGA